TGCTCTGCCAGACTGCCACTGAGCCAGGGCCCTTCCCCAAAGAGAGATGAATTGGTTTCATAGCTTGCCGGAATGCTTCCCTGTCGTTTTTCTGGTGGCTGCAGGCTGGAAGGAAGGATATCTTTTTTAGTCGCCTTTTTCTACAGAAGGTCAAAATGTTGTTTGAGAGGGTGAGGAATCAGGCCAAGCCAAATAGCACCAGGTTCCCCAGTGAGGTCCGTTTGTGTTTTGTTCGATTTTTCAAGGCCGGTAATTAAAAGCTGATTTCAGGCTTTGACTTCAGTGAAAGAAGCAAGTGATATTCACAGTCTTCGTATTGTGGTTTCAGTTTTCAAGCGGTGTTTCTCAAATAATCTGAGAGCTTAGGGGAGATTTCTTTTCTAGAGGTTAAACTCGGAAGCGACTTTTCTTGGCTCGTTAGAAAAGGTTTGCTTTGTAGAGAAAAGATTTGCTTTGTAGAGTCTGCCTCCTGTGTCTGTGTGAGAACATCACTTTTTGAGAGCAATGATTCAGTCATGTCAGATACAGAGACCATGTTATTTATTCATCTTTAGGAAAGGGGCAAAGTGAGAGCAGCGACTCATTTAGAGACTAAGTGGTGAAACTCCCTCTGTAGATGGGTACTCTTCAGAGAAGCTTTCAGTTTTTCAGGCAGGTGCCGCAGAGGAGTCCAGTTTGATGTAGTGGTTAGGAGCGCGGACTCTAATCTGGGAGAACTGGGTTTGAGTCCCCACTCCTCCACATGCAGCGGCTGGTGTGACCTTGGGTCAGTCCCAAGTTCTCTCAGAGCTGTTCTCTCAAGAGCCGTTCTCAAGAGAGCTCTCTCAGCCTCGCCTACCTAACAAGGTGTCTGTTGTGGGGAGGGGAAGCGAGAGGAGATTGTAAGTCACTCTGAGACTTCAAGTGAAGGGCGGGGTATAAATCCTCCTCCTCCTCCTTCTGTTTAGTAGAGCAATTTTAACATAGAGCCAGTCTGATGTAGTGGTTAGGAGTGCAGACTGGGAGAACTAGGTTTCATTCCCCAGTCCTCCACATGCAGCTGCTGGTGTGACCGTGGGTCAGTCACGAGTTCTCTCAGAGCTCTTCTCAACAGCAGTTTCTGTCAAGAGCTCTCTCAGCCCCACCTCCCTCACAGGGTGTCTGTTGTGGGGAGGGGAAGGGAGAGGAGTTTGTAAGCCGCTCTGAGTCTCCTTCGGGTAGTGAAGAGCGGGGTGTAAATCCAATCTCCTCTTCTTCTTCTTGTACCTCACAGGGTGTCTGTTATGGGGAGGGGAAGGGAAAGGAGTTTGTGAGCCGCTCTGAGACTCCTTCGGGTAGTGAAGGGCGGGGTGTAAATCCAATCTCCTCTTCTTCTTGTACCTCACAGGGTGTCTGTTGTGGGGAGGGGAAGGGAAAGGAGTTTGTAAGCCACTCTGAGACTCCTTTGGGTAGTGAAGGGCGGGGTATAAATCCAATCTTTTCT